ATAACATTAACAGGTTTTGTAGATAACCCTTCAATCAACTTCTCAGTTTATCTTCGAAAATACAATTGCCGTAGATATTTATTCTAATTAGCGTAATAATCAAAAACATGTAATATCATCAATTTAGTGTTAGCATTTAAAATCTTTGTTAATGCTACTTCTCCCTAAAAAATTATAATGTTTAGATTAAATATTTGGCTTTTAATAGAAACTTTGTCATGGCAATACCAATTATTAATTTATGGCATTCACATTCAAATGGAAAATCAGGACTTAGAATTATATATACGCCAGATTAGAATGATGATCTAAGTTATGATGATCAAAAAACTCAGATTAAATATACACTGTTATATCTAATTCAATTTCATTAAATCAAACAATTTAGTTGGTTTTATTATACCTCAATAAATATAAATAGGTTCATTTTATATGTTATAATCTATTATAAATAAATTTCAAAATATATTAATTAAAATATAGAATTTTATTTCCAGATTGTATAAATGACAATCCTAAATAGAAATAAATATTACAATCTAAAATAGAAAAGATTAATGGAATACTACCTCCTGTTTTAAGATGATACCAACAATGAGAAATATTTCGTATCTTAAATTTAATACTACTGCTTTATTCATAAATAATAACACATAAGAAAATTATAAAATAAAATAAGTTGCTATAAAATATCAGAGATGAATTGTAAATATGATGATTTTTATTATTATAGTTGTTTTTCAATATACATATAAAAAATGAAGGAAATGTTTATGGAATTGTATAATAGAGAGAAATTATTATAAATTTACTAGGAGAGTATATTGATCTAAATAATGCTTAATAAAAATATGATGCGAATATCAGAAGCACTAGTTATTATTATTCTATAAGCAACTTTAAGAACATTTAACAAAGATTCAATAAATTATGTAAACTTAGATGACTTCATAGAAGATGATAATAAGAAATTAAAATTCTTTTATTATTTTGATAATCCTAGCAAAATTCCTGAATTAGATTAATTATTATTATGTTATTCTTATTTATAAGAATATCCTTTTATTCAAAAATTAATTCAATATTCTCCTTAATCAAAAACTGTTTTTTTAAAATAATTTGGATTAATTTCTAAATAAAATTTTACTGATAAATAACTATGTGTTTCTTGATATTTAGTTATAAAGAAGCTTGGTCTATCATTATTGAAAAATTCAAATTTGAGAGCAAAAAAGCCTAGATGAAATAGATTAATTAATTTTAGCACAAATGATAATAATTGAAAAAAAAAAGTAAAAAAAAATCATTAAAAATATATTTTAATTAATTTTTGATTTGCATAAACTATGAAATTTAAATAATGTTCATTCTCTGATCCTTAATGAACATGAGGAGAAATTCAAAAATTTATTGAAAAATTTTGGTAAATATAAATAAAGTAAATCAAATCAAATGCTAAAAGAAATCTAGCATTATTATATAGTCCAAAAATCTAATCATAAGAATTTCATGAATCCCTGTGTTTTTTTAAAATCTTAAATCCTATAAAGCAATTTAATAAGTTCAATAGTTTTCTTGAACACATAATTACTTATTTTTTCTAATCTAGATCTTGTAAGAATTTCATTAAAATTTAATTCTTTAAATAAACTTTTTATCTCAAATTTAATATCATGGGTGTTTTTATCAGGATGGTTTAAGTTTTAAAAAATCTTTAGTTAAGATAATCAATTTTTGTATCCATTTATAAAATTAACATCTCTTTTTAGAAAATCTAAGTTTAACTAGTGATAACTTATCCCCCTTTAAATTCAATATAAATTATCGGATATTTACAATTAAATTTATTATAACAAATTAGAGCTGCACTTTTCCTATAGTTTCAATAGATTTTTTAAATAATCCATTTCTAATTGTAAGAATTATTGATATTGCAAACAATTTCAAATTATGGCATCAAATTCAAGTTAAATTAATAAGAAAGCAAATGGATATTTAAATTAAATTTGATGAAGAATGTATAATTCATGAATATAGTTATTAGTTAGAAGTTCGTCAATTTTAATATTATTAATTTAAAGTATTATTTGAATAATGAATTTAAGGTCTCAGCTAAAAAATAATAGTTTATTTAAAAATACCTTTATTTATATTATAAATAGGGTCTTATTTGATTTACATTGCTTTATCATAAAATATTATTACTTACTAAAATTATTTCATGAGATGTAATAAAGAGATATGTTTTATAAAAATAGAGTATAAGCTAAGTAATTAAATGAAACAATAAACCTTTGTTGTAATATGCTTTATCATTCTTAGGATTCAATGCAATGGCTTTATCATAACATTCAATTGGCCTCTTTATATTAATTCAGCTTTCTTCTACTTGATTAAAAATCCATTACTTAGATAATTCATAACCTATAATTTATTGATTACTGAAAACAAAACCTTTTTTGTAATATGCATTATCATTCTTTGGATTTAATGAAATGACTTTATCATAACCTTCTAAAATTTTGATTAATAATAATTAAAACCTTTGTTGGAATATGCGTAATCATTTTTAGGATTCAATGAAATTGTTTTATCATAACAATCATTAGCTTCTTTATATTGATTAAGGCTCTCTAATACACTTGCTTTAAATTAATTATTACTCAAACCAATACCTTTATTGGAATATGCCTTTTCGTTCTTAGGATTCAGTGAAATGACCTTATCATAACATTCAATGGCCTCATTATATTGGTTAAGCTTCGTTAATACATAAGCTATAATTAATTGATTAGTCAAAACAATACCTTTGTTGAAATAAGAGTTATCATTCTTAGGATTCAATGAAATAGCTTTATCATGACATTCAATAGCTTCTTGATATTGATGAAGACTCTCTAAAGCATAGCCTAAGAATAATTAATTGTTCAAAACAATACCTTTATTGCTATACACCTTTTCAAACTATGGATTCAAAGAAATGGCTATATCATAACATTCAATAGCCTCTTTATATTAATCAAGGCTTTATAATATACTGATAAATCGCCTCGTTTTATATAAATATTTTAAAAATTTTTTAGGATTAATAAATAGATTTTATCTATATTCATTATATTACGTTATATG